CAGATGTCCATCTGTTCTGACTCCTTTATTCTCAACACCGCTGAACGCTCCGTGTATAGGAATGCCTACCCTGTGCATACTTCCCGCCCCCCCCACCCATCCCTTACAACATGCAGAGTAACATGGAAATGGATCTGAAGCTGAAACCCCACTCGGCCATATTTTCCAATAAGCCCCAATTACAAGTAATGCTTATCTGTGATAAAACGGCACGGCCTGAGACAAACAATATACAACTTACCACTCGACCCAGGGCCTCTAATGTTAGAATTACTTGGACCATATTGACTTCCTCATACAAGTCAACAGTCTGAAACAACTCTGTCTTCTTCACTGGACCACCATTGGCTTCGTCCAGACATGACAGGAACAGTCCAATCAATTCCATCTGTTTGAATGGTAATGTTGGGGCCTTGCTAAGTTTGCTTGCTGGGATGTACCCGGGTCTAACCCAGTTGGCCAAACTGTTAGGGATGGGTTAATGAAAACAGTTAACTCTTTATGTAGTGAGCAACTCAATCAGTCAGCACAAAGAAATATTTCAAACCAAAAAAATATTTCAAACTAGGCTTATTTATCCTGCGTGGCAAAACAAACCAAGTTCTGCTTTCTTGTTGTACCCCACCAGGGCATCACATAAGCAATAAACATCCGGTGAAACAAAGTGCCACCATGCGGATAAGAATAATCCGTGTAGAGGTTCCAGGAACCCCTTTCAGCCGTTATGGCCATATCTGTGGCCCAGCTATATTGAGGGCCCCCGGCAAAAGCCAGGGTGGGACTTCAAATAAAATAAAAATGCATCCTACAAAGGGATGACAACGACAAAGAAACCAAGTAAAGGATCTCCTCGGCTTACTATCGAGTTCCTTACCAACTAAGAGGTCATAAGTTGAAATGGTCATAAGTCAAACATATATTTCAACACTATTTCCATTCAAAAGGGTTACAGAAATTGTACATAAAACATTACAATTCAATCTTGTAGGTACAATTATTATACATAATGTGAAAGATATACAATACATACTCTATTGCATAAGTTCCTGGAACTGTTTCACCCCTCCACTGTAGTTATCTTTCTTTATTTACTATTTATTGTGTGGGTGTGTGATTGTAAGTCTTAAGTCAACAAGAAGGTGTAACTGGACAGCTACCCACTTTTCCACCTAGCATAAGACAGCACAAATAAACACATCATATAAAGCATATTCAATTGTGGAATTATCTTCCACAACAAATTTAAAAAAAAAAATTTAAAAAATAACATTAGTCCCTATACAACAAAACAGAAACTGAATATAATCTGAGTGCAGATTACATGCCCCCACAGAGATAACAATTTTTTAGAAATGGCACACGTTTTCCCTACATTTATTACAATTATTAAGGTTTATTGTTGTTAGAAATGTGCACATTGCTGTGAATGTGTTGGAATATTTTGAAGCTATTGATAATGTTTGCTATTACTTGATGTATGCATAAAATGACGTATGAAAGGAGGGAGACTAGAAGGGCAGAATGTTAGACGGGCCTGTGTGCCCAATTCTTAACCCTTTGTAAATAAACTTTTCTTTGTTTATTTGTTTGCATTTATTTCCCACCCTATATTATCAGTGCTAGACATGGTCATTTACAACAGTGTTTCTCAAACTTTCTAAACCCGATCAGTGGTCCGCAAAATGATGCAAATAGTTTTAGCGGCCCACCAGACACCTAATTAAATGCAGAAACAAATAAAGATGGCAGTTTTTTTTTATTAAATCCGTCACCATAAAATTACAATTTTTGAAATCGACTGCTGCTTAGAGTTAGAAAATCTGATATACGTGTGTAGTTTCTGATAAATGAAGCACTGCAATAACATCCATTCGATTTCTCTGATTCCTATTACTGACATGGCTGTCTTTTTACACAAACAGAAAGTGCTTAAAGGACCAACAATCTGATAGCTCTATAACTTTTTCATATACTTTTCTTCTTGCAGAATTAGGCAGAAATTATTAGTGACCCACCAGAATATTCTGCTGCTCATGGGTTGAAGAAACTGATTTACAACAATATCAGCTTAGCACTAACTGGTCTTTAGAAATATGGAGACAGCATCATATGCCCAAGAGACTTCAGTGGGGCAGGAAGGTCCTTTTTAAAGGTCCTTAGTGATATCGACCAATTCATGTCAATTTTCTACTTATGTGGTGATCGTATAGTTAATCTTAGACTTCTGTGGTGATCAAACTGTTAATTTTAGATAGCTTTGGTGATCATATAGTTAATCTTAGACTTCTGCGGTGATTATATAGTTAATTTTAGAGAGATTTGGTGATCATATGGTTAATTAGGACTTATGTGGTGATCATATGGTTAATTTAGACTACTGTGGTGATCACATGGTTAATCTTAGACTTCTGTGCTGATCACATGGTTAATCTTAGACTTCTGTGGTGATCATACTGTTAATTTTAAGATAGATTTGGTGATCATATGGTTAATCTTAGACTTCTGTGGTGATCGTATAGTTAATCTTAGACTTCTGTGCTGATCACATTGTTAATCTTAGACTTCTGTGGTGATCATATGGTTAATTGTAGACTTCTGGGGTGATTGCATGGTTAAATTTAGAAAGATCTGGTGATCATATGGTTAATCTTAGACTTTTGTGCTGATTACATGGTTAATCTTAGACTTCTGTGGTGATGGCATGGTTAATTTTAGATAGATCTGGTGATCAGATGGTTAATTTTAGATAGATCTGGTGATTATATGGTTAATCTTAGATTTCTGTGGTGATCACATGGTTAATCTTAGACTTCTGAGGTGATCATATGGTTAATTTTAGATAGATTTGGTGATCATATGGTTAATCTTAGACTTCTGTGGTGATCATATGGTTAATCTTAGACTCCTGTGGTGATCATATAGTGATCACATGGTTAATCTTAGACTTCTGTGGTGATGGCATGGTTAATTTTAGATAGATCTGGTGATCAGATGGTTAATTTTAGATAGATCTGGTGATCATATGGTTAATCTTAGATTTCTGTGGTGATCACATGGTTAATCTTAGACTTCTGAGGTGATCATATGGTTAATCTTAGACTCCTGTGGTGATCATATAGTGATCACATGGTTAATCTTATACTTCTATGGTGATCATATGGTTAATTGTAGATAGATCTGGTGATTAGATGGTTAATTTTAGATAGATCCGATGATCATATGGTTAATTTTAGATAGATCTGGTGATCACATGGTTAATCTCAGACTTCTCTGGTGACTTTGGTCTTGTTCCTGAACTAAAGTTTTGCTTTCACATCCATTACACAAATCTGGCTAATCTGTTTGCAGACTGCTGGTTCCTCACCTCTAAGGCAAATGTAATCTGCCTTTGAAGGAAACACCCTTAACAAGTCTTCTTTTATAACATGCTTGTTGGCGAGGGGAGGGGGGAGGTATTGGGTCTACCCCCCCCCCCCCACTCCAAAGGGGCCCGGAACCCATAGGAGATGCGAGGCAATGAACTGCAATATGTTATCTGGTTCTGATTATTCATATTTTATACACAGCAGGAGAAAAGCTCTTACCTGGCTAAAACAGTACCATCTTTCAGAATCAAATGAACATCCTTCATTGTTCCATCTGTAGTTAGTGGTCGCCCAATTCGCTGTCCCACCCATGAAATTGCGGTTTTGGCACGATCAGCATCCCATTTGCCTGCCATCTGGAATAAAGTTTTGTAAAATATTTACTGTTTAGAATTGAAGTTCAGCTGGTAAGAAAAGTAAAAGTATTACTTCACACAGGTTGTGGGCACACTTTTAACATGCAGCAGCCCGCAATCTTGCCCATGCAGTTTATCGACAATCAGTTTAAACGGCGTTTTAAAAACTCTAACCGCAAAAAGCCTGAAAATCACATAAAATTCTCCTTTGGCTATCTATATCCAGGTTACGGTATGTAAATTTCAAGGATTGGTGAGTACAGTTAAAGGACTGATGGGTACAATTCAAGGATTGCTAGGTAGTTCAAGGATTTTCGTCAGTTTTCACACAAATCCCAAGATTTTTCAAGGTTCACTATAAACTCTTAACACTAACATTGTAAAAAAAATCTTATTAAAGAAATTTGGTTTGTAAACACTACTTTGTCTTGGAAACAAAATACAAGCACTTGCAGAGGTTCTAGAAAGAGTATGAATGAAAAAAAGAATTACTAAAAGAAAGAAATAAAAAGAGGTAATTGAAATATTTTGACCACAGTAAAAGTTAAACACTCTTTTAAAACCATACTAAAAGGAAATGTCATGGGCAAGACAGCAAGATGTAGACAGTGATACAAGTGAGAAGTATTATTCTTAGGCCAACAGTGGTCAGAGAGAGTGTACAACCAAGACAAGATACAGAGTGTTTTGGAGATCCGCTGCAGCCAACTTTCAGTGTGAAGATGGCACCAGCCTGACTTACTCAGAAACTTGAAATACTTTGGTCATACAAAAAGCTACGATGGACTGGACCAACACGAAGATGAACACCTTGGACATGAGTCTGCATGAAGCAGGAAACTGGTTGGGGAGCCCAGTTTCCTTCAGACAGATAGTGACTGCTTTTTACCAACCAGCAAGCAAGGCACCAATGCATGTGGGACAAAGAACTGACAGAGCAGATACCATCAATGCTGTACGGACCAGACCAGTGGATAACGACGAATCTGTAACACTAACACAACTGCGTGACATGGGAGTAAAGCATGGTGAAGCACACCTATGCCGCCTTCAAACAAAGATAGGAGACATTATAACCAAACTCTTATGGGAATAATTAGTAGAAGAACCTTGGAGTGGCTGCCGCATCGGAGGATTGAGCACGCATGGGAATGCCCAATGTGCAGTGACGTCGATTGTGAAAACCTATCATAACAAAAGTGATGGCTTTTAATATGTTAACTCTTTGAGTCCCAAAGAACGCATCATACATTCATAGGTTACTGCTTAGAAGCCCAATGAACGCATGATGCGCTGATTTTACGTCTCTCTTGACTACCCCTTGGGCCTGTGATGCTAAACCCTCTGGGACTCAAAGAGTTAAGGTACTACATGGAACCTGCATTGAGTTGTGCAACCTTCTGACCCATCAAAGACACAAACAGCAGAGAATAGAAAGTGAGAAGCAACAAATAAATTCATAATCTGTTTAATCACAGCCAATTACGGCATTACCTGAGCTTATAAATGGTTGAGACATAGAGAGAGAATTGTAGATAGCAGAGAGACTAAAAGATTCACGAAGACGGTGGTGAAATATTTACAAGCAGTCCTACAAACACTTGAGTACTTTAATTTTATATGATCACATCTAGTGGGCTTCGAGATTTCATAAGGACTTCCTAGGGGTCCCCAAGGGTTTCGCTGCACAGTACCATGTTACAGGGGGTTAGGGCTAATGTTAACTAAATAGAAACTACTATTAAGCCTAGCCCTAACGCCCCTATACAATGGAACATTCTGGGGATTTCCCTACCAAATTTTTAAAGACCAGGAGATGTGGTCCTATAAAATTTAAGTACCAACACCTGGAGTCCCCAACTGGAAACCAGAAGAAGTCCAATCACAAAGACGAATGAAGGTAACGGACATTTTTGAAAAAGAGAGGGGGGGAGCGGTTCTGCTAGGATCTGAAACCAGATGCAGGCAAACCGCTAGAACTACACCAAGCCTGGCTCCCCTTGTGCAGGTAGGAACGTGTAATATGATGTTCCTAACTTCAGGTTGTTGAAGATGAGATTACCCTGGCTTTGTGGAGGATTGGGGGGGGGGGGGGGACGACCGTCGTCACGTTCGACTAGCATCCCCAAAAGGGTAGCTTCAGGTTATAATTGTGACTAGGTTATATGCACCAAATAAAATGGCTTAGCCGTGCTCACCATCAAGTAGCCCTAAAAAGGACTCTTGTAATGTTGGTGTTGCGATTAAAGCAAACAGACCCAAATATTGTCCCGATTGGCGACGAAGTCGTCTACCGACAAGCCAGTGAGCGATCCGGTAGCCAGTGGGTGAGATTACCCGGTTCTCATTTTAACTTAGGCTGACCTGAGAGCTAAGGTCAATTTTACAAGGGAGGGGGGGGGGAGGATTTGAGTCACCAGCTAGGCTACTGTGGCTACCCGCTGTGGGTAAAAGTGAAGAAATATACCTTTTTCCACGCCTTTGGGCGTATTGGGCATACACCTATACTAGACCAACTGGCGAAGTGAGTAAACCACAGGCTAAATGCCATGTCTGCCATCCTTGTTATTTTGCAGTGGGCTGAAAGCCGCTCTGCATATTTTATAAGGTCACGGAGGCCGAGGGGAAATGTTAAAAAGGCGGGACCAACTCCTAGTCGTCAGCCTGGTTTAGGACCTGGTTTAAGACGCTACCAGATTGCATAACTATTTACGAACACCGAGTGCCTATGTGACCTGTGTACGACAGGCTCCAGAACACTGCAGTGCGGTAGCCGCCGTGGTGTAGAAACTACAGGCCCGCCTGTGGATTCGAAAGGTTCAAATCCAAACAAAGCCGGACTTTTTTTTTAAGCCGACCATGGCTCTCAGGTCGACCCAGTCTTAAACGGGTTCCATGTAAAGTCCAGGTAAAGTCCGGGTAAGCAAAAGACCGGTTTGATGCTGACCGCTTTACCCACCAAGTGCCGAGTGGTCTATTAAATTTGTTTAGCACTATATGAGCAATACGTTTGAGGGCATGGAAAAGGGGTCCTTTACAATGCAGTTCAAGCGAGCTCTACCTCTATACCCACCCAAAAGATAATACTATATTTCAATAAACAATAAATAAATAAATAAATAAATAAATAATGTTATTAATAACTTGAAACGAGAACGTCTATGCGTGTTTAAGGAGGAGACCGGGGTGGGGGGGGGGTAGCAATTAGCTACCTTTATAAATATTTAGGGGTCCCCGTACTCCAAAAAAATTTTGCGGGCGGAAGGTGGCTGAAGGTGCATGAACCCCCATGTTCCAGCGCCTCTGGCAGTGCACGCACACGGTTAAACATTCTGGTGTGATATCGATCCGCACTGTTCCCTATAACTGAATGAAAACCACCATTATGGGCAGTTATGGATCGCTGCCAAACCTGGCCACAACAGAATAATTCAAAGCGCCCAAGACACATTGCAGGGAATTATTTGGCCGCGATCGCTGTTTGGCATCGAAATGTGTGCAGGCACGCGATCGTTCAGTCAGTCATGTCAACACAGAACAAGAACGGAACAACAGCGTTTTGAAAACGATTTATGAAAGGTAAGATAAAAGAATGGTCGTAAAACGCACGCGTTTCTCCTCAAGACTCGCTTCATCGCCCCCCCCCCCCCCCCCCCAAGACAGGGATAGTTTATCATACTGACTTTGTCAACATATAGAACACGTTTTTCGATACTGGAAACATGAAGATATGTCCCTGCAACTCGTCATCTGAAAGCGTTGAGCCTGCCTCAATGCAGAACAGTGGTTTCTAACCTTTGTTTTTTAATACGACAATATCCCGCGCCCATTTAAGAATACTTCAAGACACCCCCCCCCCCCCTTTTCCCTTTTAAGCATTTAGCAAGACCCGCGCGCTCCCCTTTTGAGTATGTAGCAAGGACCCCCCCCCCCCCCCCCCCCCATTCCCCATAACAAAATTGGATTAAAAGGAGAAGGACACAAGATTTCCACAACAGGAGAAACATAAAGTATGGGGACACGTTTTGGTCAGAATTTGTAATTAAAGGCCTGCGTTATTAATCAGAGTTTTAACTAGATTTACAAACTGCTGATGAAAATATGTTCTTGGCTTTCTGTTTTATAAATAATTAAAAACATGTTTTTTTAATAAATAACTAAAGTGAACAAAATAAGGTAACTAATTATTACAAATACCAATGCACCGAATGTCAAAATCCCCACAGCTGCAGACTGTTGCTAACAAAGAAGCCATCTGGCCTGTTCCAACCATAATCAAAACACAAGCGGTATGATACACAAGGAGAATTTGGGCTGCAGAACTCATGGCATCAGGTTTTCTGATGGTAAGGATCGAAGAAGGTCTGCTTCAAATCGCCTGCATCCAACTTTGAACAGTAAAACGAGATTATGAGCATATGCTCACAACCGCTAAACCACAGGCACCATCAGAACAGACTTCAAGTCAACAGAACAGCTATTACGCCCGCTCTTCCAACGCTACGGTCGTATGTGAGTTATCAAAGACATGAGATATCGATCAGCAATAAAAACACTGGAGTATACAGTCAGAACAGAACGTAAGCTTCGTGCAGCCGAAACAAGTAACTTGACTCTGGAGGCTAACAGCTCCTATAGCCTTACACGGAAAGTCTGTGTGCATTTATTGGCAAATGTTATGACCAAGAATGAAGACTAGAAGCAAAGCCGATGGTTACGGAAGATTTAGAACAGCTAAGGGGAGCTACGTGGTCTCACGACATGACGTCCGCCCCGAGTATTAGAGGTCACAGGTTAAAGCCCCAAGGAAGGCTGAGATTTTCTTACGTGGACTTCTAGTAATTTCACCTTGTCTCGGTAGTCAAACCGGACGTCCGGTTGTATTGTTGTGCACGTAAAAAATCCCTTTGCAGTTGGAAAATGAAAAGTAGCCTAAAGTGAGGAGTTAAAAATCTATCCAAATTATTTCAGGATCCTCGCCGGTACAACAGAGTTCGTGC